CGCCCCCCCCCCTCCCGTTGTCACGCTGGTCCCGGGCTCCGCTGTGCCCGATGCGAGCCCGGGACCATTATAGTGCCTCTCTGACAGGGGATCAGAGGGAGGGAGGTCGGTATACGATCTCCCTCCGGTCCTCTCCGGGAATGCGGAAGTGATGTATATTACATCACTTCTGCATTCTCGTGTCACTCTCCAGCTTCAGACGCTGGAGAGAAGCTGATGAAGCAGATCTCTGCTTCATCAGGGGTGTCCTAGGTGACATTAGGGGTCTTGGAGACCCCTGATGTCTCCATAAAGAGGACCTGTCGCTTCCTTTGCTATCACATAAGGGGGTTTCTTAGCCCCCTGATAGCAATAAAGTTAAGTGGAAAAGAAAAAAAAATTGGAAAAAAAATTAGTTTCCAAAAAATGTTTTTAAAGTTACACAAAGAATTTAAAAAAACAAAATTTTTTTTTACAGTGGGCATACCTGCGGAAACGACGATTGCGCCCATTACGCCGCACATGTTACATATCGCCGTGAGCGCAATCATTCTAGGGACTTTGATCACTTATAACACTAAACTGATGAGCTGTAAAAGCTTTTAAAGCGTTGCCTGTGGTCAATTTTGGGTATGATACTTTTGCGATTTCGCGGGTGCGCGCAATTTTTAAGCTTGACATGTTTGGTGTCTATTTACCCGATGTGACCCCGTCTTTTATATTTTACCAAAATAATTGGGTAATAACAATTGTTTCCTAACAATGTAAAAAAAAAAAACCTTTTTTTTCAAAATTTTCAGTAATTTTTCCTAAATGTATTTTTTCCCTTTATTCAGTGCACGCAAACTGTGAACATGAGCCTTCCTCGATGTTTGTGCCTGTAGAAAGGAATAAAGCCAAGCAACATTCATCATGAGGCTTCTGTGGGCTGGAACCACAAGCTAGGTCTTGCACACAACAAACTTCCACCTGTCAGGAAATCTTCCTCAATCCAAAAAATAATGAATTGTACAGGAATTCCCACCTGTTGGAAGGTGCATTGCTGCTGCAGCTCACAATAAAAATGTTTGCAATCCAGAACTATGCCAATTTAATTATGGTTTTTTTTCCTGATTGTGGTGCTATTTTAAAGCCACACTGTCGATAAACCTGCTAAATCTCTCTGAGTGGCACCCTGTAAAAGACTTGGTTGAAGGCTAAGGTTTCCTTTAATACCATGTTTCATGTTACTCCCATATTCAGGGTGAAACATAAAACATGGTCACATGGCCACCCCTACTTACCTGAATAGCAAGGTTTTTCTCTCCACAGGCTTCTGACAGGTTTTGAATTTGGTTCCTCCTGCACAGCCACATCATCCATTTCTGGATTGTCGGGATCTCTGAATGGAGAACCTACAAGTCCCATCTGCCTCCTCGGCAGAGGGATGTGTAGTTCTCAATGGAATACAAGGGCAGTGACTTCACTGGACATGCATTCCATTCATTCTTCCTTCCATCCCTCTAACTTTAAAGGACTTGTAGAGGTGTAGAGGGAATTGCAGTTTTTAATGGAATACAAGTGCGGTGGCATCACTGCGCTTATAGTCCATTCATTCTTACTTCTGTCCGTACCTTGGTACTGACAGGAACTGGACCAGTCTGTAGGAGCCAGAGCATTGCACCTGCGATCCACTGGTCGTGGTTGCAATGCTTTACTGGCTCCAATGCAAAAAAAGAAAAGAAAAATGCACATATTTTGATTTAGGAGTATGTGCATTTATATTTTTTAAAAGGCAAATTGGACTTTGCCATTAAATATTACCTACAGGCACCACTGCCATCATACATTTTCTGGCGTGGCAGATAGCAGACCCACGCTGTGCTGGACACAGTAGTGACATCGGGGTCGGCTAGAGAAACCACAGCGCCTACACATTGTGTGGCACACCTGGCAGTGTAAGATTGCAGCGGCGCCTGTAGCTCTTAAAGTGAGCGAAAATTTACCTCGCCATCCATAGGAAAGTTTAGTATTAGGTTCTGAGTGTCATTCTGAGTTTCTGCAGAAATGTGACTATTTGTGTTTATTCATACATCATCCTCATAGAAGAAAATACCCAGACCACCTGTTTTGTCCATTTGCCAAGACAGAAAGGCAGCTGCAAATATTTAGTAGAATATATATTGTGGGCTTTAAAAAAAACTTCAATTTCATAATTTCTTTTCTTCTCATACACCTATTACACAATCATTTTATTGTTTCAAAGTCCTTTTCTGATATCTTGCTCACTGGAGACAGGTCTGATTAGCAGTTATGAATTGTCAGCTGTTGATCTAAAGTAGAAGTGAATCATACTGCTATATAAAGTATTTGGACTGCTGACCCTTTCCTAGGTAGAATTAATCTCTGAAATGGAGGGAGAGTTGGATGAATGCGACAAATATGCTGTTCCAAATATTGACTCATCCCTATTGACTATACCAAGTATTTGTTTCTGAAGCAGATGATGAATATTTCCATCAAAAACTAGAAATGTCATTTGTGTTCATGTTCACTGGGTTGAAGTACAGTTTAAAAGCAAAAATCATTATTTGAAGGATGCAGCACTGGCCCCGAGAGCCTGCACAGCTCTCCTGATACCCTGGGGACATCAGGCCGCGAACCAGGAGCAACAGAGAGCATGTAGCTTCATATTATTCTGCATTCCTGTATAAAGTATTGCTGGGATTTGTAGTCCTCTATAATGGGCAGTATTCGGCATTTCTGTATAATGTATTGATAAGATTTGTAGTCCATCTACAGCTTGAAGTCAGTGGCAGATCTACCAGGTCACAGCTGCAACCGGGCCTTGGTGCTCCACCACTGACTCCAAGCTGTAGAGAGACTACAAATCACAGCCAGGACAGGAGGAAGAGGGCCCTGGTGACCGTTTCCAAAATCCTCAGCACCGGTCCTGTGATGCTCCTAATCCAGCCTTGCCTGAAAGACACAAAAACCAAATGTGGATCTGATTTTTCTCTACTGCATATCTATACAAAAATATAAAATGTTAGGAATCACCAATGGAACATGAGACACCACACCCCTAATTTTAACAAAATCAAACACACACACACATATACATAAAATATATACATCAATTTATTAAACTTTATCAATATCAAAACAATGCATCAAGCATATTAAATAATCATTATTCGGGTCCTTTGAATGACGCATAATTGTGTAATGGGTCCAGCGTTTCACCAAAGCTGCTTTAGGACGATAAGAGGTTGCCTATAGTAATTATCTAATAAAGTACACAAATGACTACATAAAACAAAATTTAACCAACAAATTATACAAAATTACAAAAAATAACACTAACTGTAAATAAATACCATATTATAAAAGACTTAATGGTGACTGAATCCACATTCCCAGGGAACATCCCCCATCATCACGTGCAGGGATAACAAGGTAGGAGGGATACGATAACCATCCATGTGCGATATCTCGCCTAACATTGCCATGTCTACATCCACATATAGAAACTCCCAAATCTCATAAGGGACAAAGGGAAATAGGGATCATCCAACTAAAATCACTATGATATATGTCCAAACGGGAACAGTATATATCTACATTCCTTCTTCAAACAATTAAAATCGCAATACACATAAGTCAGTGCTAAGTACATTCTGTGTAAAATACCCAAAAAGTAATACCGAAGATTAATTATAACTTTCTTTCAATCAAATGTCTAGCTCACTATAAGAAATACAGTATATTGGGAGGTAAACATTTTTTGTGTTGGAGCATTAACATAAGGACTAAAACATATTATTATGCATACCTTGTAAATGTATCCCAAACATCAGGCTTTCTTACCCAGTACTTCCTCGCCAAGTCATTCATGCCTCCGCTCCCCATGTTGAGTCCCTGCTGCACCCTTAGCACAAACTACACAGACGGCGTGCGACGTATGCGGCCAGGGCAGGTTAATAGTCTGCTCATGCGCCTCATGTGCGCATCTAAATAGGAGGTTTTCCTGCCAATACAGTGGGTTGCTCAATTCAATGGGAGGGCACAGGAAGCCATCACTGCGCCGATGATGTGACGGGGGAAGGGCATTAGAATCTGGGTGCCCCTCTGTGTCCATATCATAGGCAAGTAAACCTCTACTACAGTACACCACTTGAAATAATGTTGGGCTTTTTTTCTTGTTGAAAAATAAACTTCCGTTTGACATATATATTTAGAACAGTTATCCTGTATACTTTGTGCTATTTAACCTTTTCTTATCTTCAGACACGAAGTCCCTCTCCTGAGGAAGCCAAACTCGTCAGGGCTAACCATTCATCACCATTCCAAGTCCTGGGTCTACAGTAATTCATGCATACTTCTTATTGGTCTGGACTTGATTGAGATATATCTATCTATAGATAGATATATATATATATAGTTGAAAAAGTATGGTGAGTTTTGTGAGGTGCTGACTTATGTGGGAATATTCTGCCAATTACAAGGACATTGTAATTCAGAGCTGTTTATTTGTGAACTTTTTTAGAAGACATGTTAATAAAATATTGTTAATTTTATCCTTGTACGGGTTTTGTAATATTTCCAATAATGGTGGCTCACACCAACCCCACTACTTCCTGTCTTTGTTTGTACTTCTATTTAGAGGTGCACCGAAATTAAATTTTGAGACCGAAACCGAAAATAAAAAAAAGCTAGGAAGAAAAACAAAAATTATTTTTTAACCTTTTTAAATATTTTTCTTTTTAATTTTTGTCTAAACTTTATTTTAATATTTTGTATTTATTAAATATTAGTATGTTTCCTTTTTACAATAGAAAAAGAGATTAAGGGCTCAATCTCATCAGCACTGAATTAACAGGAATCCTCTATACTGTACTGAGTGTTCCTGTTCATTCATAAATTGTGGATATAGTGTGAGTTACTATGTAGATCACTTCCTATTCATTCATAACTGGTACATAGTAACTCCTACTCTGTCCAGTTATTTGAAAACAGCCCTTATACCTGATTGCTAAGGAAAATTCTCTGGGAATAAATATGGTGAATGTTGTTCCAATCAACATAATCTGTTACTCATAACCAGCATGGGGCCAGAGACCTCATGGTGGAAAGGTGTTGATTGTATTTGCATGATTGGAGCGATCAGGTGTCATTAAGCTGCCCAGAGAGGTGTTAAAACAGCATTTTATGTGGCAAAGAGTAGATGTCTCTTCTCCCCTGATGTGGTCAGTGAAAGCCTCTTGTTTGTCAATTTGAACCCAAGTGTCAACTGCATATCTGAACGAATGACTGGTTGTGATTCCTCTATGTACAGGTTCACCACAATAGGTGAAACTGGCGATCCCATGGCACCAGTGGCGTAACAACCGGGGGGGGCAGCAGGGGCGCGGGCCCCGGGCGAAAAGTGAAGGGGGGGGGGG